GCCCTCCCCCCACTTGGGGCCCTGGTAATTTAGTCCCACTTTTCACCCAACTACGACGCCCCTGATTGTGTATAATGAACTTCATCCAAATTGTTCCACTGCGCACCAATATTCCTCAGACTGGCCTCTCTAGCCTCATCAACAACGCCAGATTCGTGTACCGAACAGAAATTATGTTCTGTCTTCGTTTTAAGAGCTTCCCTATAAAAAAAACAGTTAACTGTGTTCTATACTGAAATGTCTAAATTCTAACAAATGAAAAAATGGGGGAAAATTGCACTGTTTAGCTACTCAAGAAAACACATGCATAGGAATTTGTGTCTACAACACTACATGTGCTTTTTTTAGGAGTTTAGGAATGTTCTCAGTCTGTTGCAGTAAAAATAATAAAACCTGATCCGTCACATGTAAGCACATGGAAAGCTATATCTTTGGGGAATCTGTGGAGAATAGCATTATTCTTGTTCTATTTCCTACCTTTTTTTTAATTGTATCAAGTCTGTCAGAATGCAGAATTTTGAGAACTAAGAGTCATTTGTGGAGGCTTTGGAAATTTTTGGAAAGTAATAATGAAAGAGCATATTCTTACAACTGTGAAGAATTTCTGATAAAAGCCTTATATGGATGCCATAATCTGATGGAATGTACTTTCTCTTAGACCTTTTTATGTCGAGTTGGCTAAATTCTCCCATCTCTTGGAAAAATCCTTCATATAACTGTTTTTACAACCTATGTTGTTGGTTTCAATATTACTGAGCTTCACATAAATTTATTTCTTGGTAATATGGTTCTTAACCCGTTAAGTGGCACACCCAGAAAAAGGCACTGAAAAAAATATTATTTTTTATCATTTCTGAGGTCTGTAGGCCAATAAAAACAAAAATCAATAGTTTTTTCAAACACTGACCACGTAGTTTACAAAGGTCTACCAAATGGTAGAGGGAGCCGTTAAAGGTAAAAGTTAAAGTAACATTTATGAAATGTTTCCAACAATATCAAAGCAACGTCTTTGTGTTTTTCTCTTGTTTTTTTTTTTGTTTTGTTTTATTGTGAAACAAATATATTACGCAAATTTTTAACAAAATTAATAATATCAACATGAAAATTAGGTCTATCAAATCGTAAAAA